ATCATATTAGTATTTACTAGCATTATTGACTCTATTCAACCTATTTCTGTATCAAATATCAAAATACTTTTTTCTTAAAGAGTAATGTCGAACAACGGATTTTGGTGTGGATCACCTAAAAGGGTGGTGATGGCGCAGTGGATAAGACGCATGCCTTTGGTGTGAGAGCGCCGGGTTGGAATCCACTGTGAGACACCAATGTGTCCCTGAGCAAGACAACCCCTAGTTGCTCCAGAGGCATGTGACCTACATATATAGCAATTGTAAGTCGCTTTGGATAAAAGCGTCAGCTAAATGAATAAATGTAAAAGCAGTTCAGTATATTACAATACAAGAGACAAAACCACACACATTTTCACCACTAATTAGAAAAAAAGTCAAGGAGGATGGAAAGCTTGTTACACTTCGAGATCCAACAGTTTGTTGTTGATCTCTGATTGACACAAAACAACTTTGTTCTGGAGTAGAACATCAAGCAGAACACCCACTACACAAGTGGATAATTTGATGGCAGGATTAAGACACAGCCACTGTGCCCAAACACCTCCTTAAAAGAATAAGAAACCTTGACAAGAAAGAAAATGCACAAAGCATCATCAGCCTCTATATAAATAGTAAATATATATAAACAGTACTTTGCGGATAGTCCCTTTAGTGCAGGTTTTTGTACATGTCAAGTTAAGTAAGACTTATTTGTATAGCGCTTTTCACAATACACATTGTTTCAAAGCAAATCACAATGTTAATGTTTATAATATCTTCATGCCTTATAGTTGCAATTAGCAGATTTAGCATTCAAGCATGTTAATTTTATATCACCCAACATGAGAATACTGTATGTATTTGGATAAAGTTGGACACACTTATACATCCAACTTTATATAAAGTGCTAGGTGATAATATAGATGCATTTTTCAGTTAAGATTCGCGACAGAACATACAGTATAGCTTTGCATGAATATACTGTATGTCAGTGGATAAAGTTGCATACTGTATAATATAGCCCATTATAAATAGAGCTGTGCGATAATGACATCACATAATTCAATCCAGCGAGTTTATTAACTGATAGCACATCATAGCATTCTTTAAATTAACTTGTCTTATTGTGCATATGAATGCTCAAAGCAGTTGAATGATCAGTGCACGAACTGCCCTTCTTGCTCTTTCACTCACATTTGTGTGGTATATAAATAATACATGGCTATTCACTGTGAAGTGAAGTACGCCTAGGAAAAAAATGCAGAAAATGCCTCCTCCTAGAGTCTTTGATTCATTTTTAAAACTTTGCCTTTATACAAATACTAAGAATCAATCATAGCTGTCTGTCAAAGACACTAAGGTCTCAGATCTTCAGTGAAACCTCCACCTAGACTGCAACTACTGCAGTGATAACGCTTGTGATGCAGAAAAGAGGAATGCTTTAACTTTCCAAGCAAGACCCTTTTCAGAATTTCATCGCAACACTGCACTACATCTATGGTCAAGTTGTCAGCTAAGATTAATGGGAAGCTCACTGCCCCATTGAGGCTCTTACCATCATGACAGACAGAGGGAAAAATTACACCGCATCGTAGCCAGGAGCACTGCAATACGTCTGTCTACAGTGAAAGCAAAAAGAGCTATTTGAGGTAAATGAGGCTAAGTTTAGTTACATAACCATCAACCCTTACTTTAATCTATACTACCAGCTGTGTATTTGAATAAGTGTTTATGTTAAAACCGGTGTACTGCTTAAAATGAGATTAGACAGTGCCACCTGGGTAATTCAGTAGCTGCTGTATATCTACAGTAGATTACAATGTCAACCAAAGTTCACAAGATCAAACCTATTTATAAACAAACATGTCAGACAGACCGACTGACAAGCCAATGCCCAATTAAACTCACTCCAAAACTCACTTCAATTAAACTCACTCAACAGTCGACACAAAAATAACTGAATAGTGAGAACTCGAACATCTGTTCACTTTTAGCATCTCTGCCAACAGGCAGCTAAGTGCAGTGATAAAGCTAAATGTGATAAAGTGATAGTCACATTTAAGCCCCTTAAATATAGTACAATGACAACATCATAGATATGCTACAGTAATAGAAGCATCCAGACAGCACAGCAGAACTCATGCCACTCATGAATACAGGGTATATACAGTAATCCTTAAGTTAAATTTACTACTTTTTAATACCTTTTTTACTACTTTCAGAATTTTTTTTATAACCATCACGACACTGAATTGCAAGTGTTAACCAGCGACCTTTCTATTACACAGATTTTGACATTTATAACATGAATAGATTTAGAGCACGCATTCCATTTTTATGTTTAGTGGATTGCATTTGCGACCGAAGTGCATTAGCTCCCATCCAGTTGACATTGATGTTTTTTACACACTAAACAATAGAGGGAATGCATTGACATCACTTTCCCGCCGGTACAACCCCCCTCAACCTGACTGAGTGGCAAAAGATCTGCTGCGTAACTGGATTTAATAGGGGAAACTATTAAACGAAAATGCGACTGAAAACTAACAATTTGATCAATTTAAACTAAATGTTGGACTCAATATAGTTGGACTCCTAACAACTTACTAAAGATCCAGTGATCCATATTGACATGCAGCCAGCAATCGTGTCGCCTGACATTTATGTTTGCCTGATTTCAATAAAAGGGAAATAAAAGCAATATAGACCTACATAGGCTAAAGCAAATTTGTCTGTGAACGCTTTATAAATAAAATATAGGTAGGTCTAAATCCGTGTGATCACTTATATCAGGGTTATATAGCCTCTATATATCGTCATATCGTCCAGCCACTGAATATGACGTCAGCATCAAACATAGACAGAGATGAAAGATCTTTGATTGTGCCCAGATAAGCTAAAGCCCATATTTATACGGACTAACGCAAACACAAAATAGGACACATAGTCTGAAAAAAAATAATACCTAATTTTTAAAAAATAATACCTCTCAGACTACATTTAACACTTTTAATGGCCTTAAATTTGACAATTTTGATTTATCACTTTTTAAAACCCAGCGGACACCCTGGAATAGTTAAAAGGGATGTAGTGAAAAAACAATACTTTTCTTGATTCTTTGAAATTAGTATGTATAGAGTAACATATAGGAACTTCAAGAACTGAAAACAGTTCAAAAGGACATGCAAAAAAAAACCCCAAAAAAACAAAACTTCTTGTTCCAAAAACTTGGAACTAATATCTGACATCAGAAACCCACATTTATTAACATACAACCACCGACATTTTTGATAAAGTAATGAGGGGGAAGTTAACTAAATAAATATACCATTCCAAATACCATAGGGACAAATGTAATGCGTTATTTGGGCTGTTTCCGGCTTTCACTTTGCATATTATGACGTTAAAAACAAGTAACTGAATCGAGTTGATTTATCATTTTAGTCTGACCTTCAACAGTTTATGTGTCATATTTCAGTGTGGATTCCAAGTGGATGTTATTAAAAGATTTGCTGTGCATAAGCACAGAAAAGTGCTGTTACTGACTTCTGAAATGCTCTAAAGTGTCAAAACCTTTTGCTAAAATTGAACTGTAAATGGGTTTATTTGATGAAATGACTAAATCTTAAATCTACCACAATTTGGAATCTATAAAAGCAACTTATTTATCGAATAGGAATCAATCTTACCACCAAGTATGTCTGATGGATGGCCTCTTAAACCCTTCTTGAAGCTTTCCACATCAATCACTGGTGCCAGTAGAAGACACTTGGCATCTAGATCTGGGCTTCCTTGAAAAATAATGGCATACGATACATCATTGAAGCCATCCTTCAACAAGATTTCTCAATAAGCACTGCGGCTAAAAGCACTTTTATAGCTGAGCTGATGGCATATCTCACGATGCTTCCCCCCATCAAATGCTGTTGGTGCAAATGTTATTAAGTTCATATGAATTGTTATTGCAATAGAATACATTCCATCAAAATAGTTAAGAATATGGTTTTCTCTAACAGATTGTTGTTACAGTTTAAGATCAGTATAACGTGAACACAAACTTAAGCACTAAACATTGGAATTCTGATGACTCAATATGGTAAGATATTGCATTTATCAACAACATAGCTGTGGAGAGTGCCATGGTGTCATTTGTTGGCTTTGTTTGTCTTCATTGAAGCTCTTTACAAGTACCGTACCATTATGAAATATATTTATATATCTCTTCCTTTTCTGATGACTTGAGAGATAGTATGATGAGATTTCTTGTATAGTACAGTGATTTTAACAGAAATTGTTGACTGTCTGGTTAATGTACTTACTACGTAACTTGAGAGTGGACTGAGGCCTGATCCTGTGATTGTGTTTATCATAAAAGAAGTGATAAACAGGTTTAACCTTCACATTAAGAACAAGCTGATGTCCATTTAATGATTCAACCAGCTGGTAAATCCTGAGAAAAGCTACATATGTAATTTGATTGGTCCATCAAATTTGTTTCCCTTTTTGGATTCATGACTCAGCCATCTGGGGCTTTTCAAAGGCAACGGCATTTATGGAACAAATTTGTGATTTGTTGACAAAGCAAAGTCCGTCACAGAGTCTGACTCCAGAATTACTTGTTTATATCCGAGTATTTCTTGTATGTTTAATCACCAGCCTCATCAAGATCCCCCAACAGTCCTGGAAGCACTAGGCAGTGGGACAATTTTGTGACCTTAAAGAGAATCTTTTCACCTGGAGGCTTCAGACTTTCTTAGGAAGAAATCGGTAAGAGGAGGTGAAGACTTCACAGAGGTCAAGACATGTCTGAATCTCAACTCTAGCAATAAACACTAAAGCAATCATAGATTTATTACACCATAACTGCTGCATGTCAGAGTTGGCAGATGGCAGGGGCACATATGTGCTTCTTTCGTAAAACGAAGAGAAGAGAACAGGGTGACTGTGTCTAATGATTGAGCGTTTCAAATAAGAGGATTAGAAAATCCTTCTATGAACCCTAAAACACAGGACAAGACTCTGAGATTACTACTGTTTTATTTCGGAGCTGTTCAAGAGCCATTGAATGTTTTATTATATTAAGAAAATGATATGCATTGTGCACATTTTCTGGAAGAGCGATTCTTGCATTTAAAACAGTCAACAAAAAAAGCATATCTTTGGATCTGTTAAAAAAAATGACTGATAATTAATTTGAGGAACATGAATTTCTCAGCTGTATGTCTAACGGCGTGGAAAAAGGCTTCACAGTTAAACTACATAGCTTCATTTTTTATTTCTATTGCATGGATTTCCATGCAGTGCTAAATCTGGCATAAGTCCACAGTGTAAATATGAAGGTAATAGTACTTAAATGAGAGGAAGTCAGCTTGTGGCTGATGGAAGACAAAATACTGCTTCAAGGCCCTTTAACTCTTCAGACAGAGCCGTCCGTGAAAATTCACCCCGTCCACTGCAAAAGGGTTCAGTATGAGGGCATGGAAGAACAGTTTTGATCTAGTGAACTGTACAACGGTTGTGCATCATTTAAAAGGCTCCAGCTGGTAACGGATGCTTGTTATTCCCGGAAGTCTCTCCTCCGTTCCCGAGTAGGGAAAGGTCTTCAACAGAGCCTGGTGTCTCTGTGTCAGGGGTAAGAACTAGTCTAGGAGGAGGAAAGTCCACCCATCCTCCATCCTGCTCGTCCACGACTCCTGCGGTAGCGGCTGCGGCTTCTGCGCACTCCTCCTTGAAGAGCCTGTCGTGCTCTTGTTTCAGCTCCTGGTAGGAGCGGGAAAACATGTGGAAAATGGAAGTGGCTGGGAAGGCCATGATTAGGATCCCGCTCAAAATGCTACTGAGCGCCACCACCTGACCGGGGATGCTCCTGGGCACCATATCCCCATAACCCACAGTAGTCATAGAGATTATTGCCCACCAGTAAGAGGCGGGAATGCTGCTGAAATCATGTACTCCGGTAAGCTCGCTCTCCGCCAGGTGCACCAGTGGTGAAAAGAGTGTCACCGCTACACAGAGAAAGAGCAGCAGCAGGCCAAACTCGCGCATGCTCCGCCGCACCGTCAGCCCCAGCGTCTGCAAGCCCAGAGAGTGGCGCGCCAGCCGCATTACGTACAGGATCCGAAGGGCACGTAGGACCCGCAGTACCAACCCAAGCTTGTCCAAGTAGCCCTTACCTCCAGAGGGTGCCTCATTTTCGTCAGTGGGGGTTTCTCCCACGACAAGGGACACGTAGTAGGGTAGGATGGCCATGACATCGATGATGTTCAAAGGTCCACGGAGGAAGTCCAGCTTGCTGTCTGCCTGGACAAACCGTAGTAGAAACTCCATGGAGAACCAGCCCACACACACCGTCTCTATGATGAACATGTGCTGGCATTTCTGGGAGCACAAACCCTGCAGAGAGAGAGAGAGGGAGATAGTAAGAGAGAAATCTAATTCCCAATCAATTATTTTCAATAAAAAAGGCTTTGGCTGTAAATTTAAAATCAATGTGTTTAGGCATAGCTTATTAGAAGTTAAAGAAGTTGTTGTTGTTGTTTTGTGGAAGGGAGATAAATATAAAATACCCCAGAGAGCAAAAGGTTGGTCAGTAATGCAAAAAAAGGAGGAAAGAAAATGGATAAGATAAGGCGAGGGCAGATAGACGCAACATTTTCAAGAAAAGCTCAATGTTTACTTTTAGTATTCAAGTCACACTAACCGATAAGTCAAGCTGTATCAGTTAATTAGTCAGAGTCAAAGGTCGGATTGAGGCAGTGGGGGAGAAACAGCTAATAGAAAGGAAAAAACAGACCACTTTGACCTTGAAATGCCTGAATTAAACACTCGATGTTCAGGCAACATGCTGGAAGAGACCCAAATTTGGATTTTTCCCTTCATGTGACATGCTTCTAGATGTTTGTTTGTAAAAAGGTTTGATCTCGTGAACTTTGGTTGATATTGTAGTAATCTTAAAACTATCTGATGCAGTCACACATTCTGTTAACATACCATCACATCGTTTTATCATGTTGTTATAATTCAGTGCCAGTAAGCGCCTTGCTAAAATCTTAAAAACTGGGGGAGGAGCAAGCAGAAATACTGGAAAGATGCTGAGATAGCAGATTTAATTAATATTTGGTGAGATTCATTAGTTCAAGCAAAACTCAAGGGAATGTATCGCAGTCATTCCATGTTAGCAAATTAGCCGTTCAATTTGCAGTTGCTTGAAGACACTAGGTGTAGGAGATGTAATGGTTTTGTTGTTGTCATGATGTGCACACTGTATGCTGGTAAAGCATGTGATGTTATAGTTTCTGCTCACTCACAGGTACGTTAAGGTCAGCTGTCAGGTCACAATGATGCATGTGTAATTTACAGTAACACAAACGTGAACAGTCAAAGAAAAAATGATTACATCTCTCAGCAATTATTCAAAACAGTCCGGTAAGATATATGATGTGAAACATAGCCTCAGAGAACAAGATATGCAATAAATAATTAATGATGGACTGCTAAACTTTGGGTTTACCACATGTACATGTCTTTATAATGTGTTTACCTCAAGACATGCAGTGGAAAAGTGAAAAATGGCAAATATTTTAACCTTAATATTTATCAGGTGGGAAATAAATATAATACATAAATACTAGCACTACTAATAATGATAAATAAAAATATAATAAAACATTTTGAATGAATACATTGTATTTTGTTGTAGTGTAATAATTTCAAAAATAAAAATAAAACATTAATCACAATTAATTGAATTCCCAATTCATTTATTATCAATAGAACCGCTTTGCATCTAAATGTATTAAAATCTGTTTAAGCCAGCTTAGCATACAGAAGTTAAAGTAGAAAAATGTTTGCAAAAGGGAGATTTAAAATAACATCCGTGAGAGTAAGGGGAAAATGGAAAATATATCAACTAAACGAACAAAAAAAAAAATCTCTAGTTTCAAGCACAATCTGGGAAATACAGTACTTCATAGCAATGCAGTAGAAAATCCTCAACTTGACAGTCAGATCAAGAAACCAACTGAAATACTGCATACATACAAATGCTGCAAACCTTTCTCCACAAACATCCTGTCTTCCTAGTGCGTAAGCTACACTTACATCTTTCAAAATCCTTTCAAAACTCATTCATGCTTCTGCTTGTCAAGTCTTGAAAAGCAATTGTAAATTCTCAATCTTTCACCGGAGCAACAGACTCAACAGTTAGAGTGGACATATTATGAGGAGATTCATTGGTGTAAATTCAGCAATTCTAAACGTTGAGCACACAATTTGTCCTCCCCCGTCCAGTACTTTGTCCCCTTTCCGTCACTCTCCCCAGTTCTCAGTCATTCTCATTCCCCCCTTCTACTCCAACACCTTCCTCTCATCTCATTTCTCTGACTCTCTTGCTCCTCATCTCCCTGCGGTGGGGAAGAAGTGGCTGTGACTGCAGCTGCAGACATTATGCATGTAAAAACAATTTGCAACTCGTCAAGCTGATTGTCAATTTCTCAGTGCTAATGCACTTAGGTTAACCTTATCTCTGTGCTGCCACTCGAAATGTCAATGATATATCCCCCCTCTTTTGTGCCCAAAACCAAATGAGCCGCAGTCCCAGCATCTATACAACCAGTACATTTAGAAATCACCAGCAGAGCGAACGAGCAGATTACCGAGGCTTATACCAGGGCTTTTGAGTTCAGCATTCACAGCAGTAGGGCTGCACAATTAATCAAAATGAAACTGAAATTATGAAGCGCCTTGTTCTTTTAACCTTAAAATCTAAGAAATTTTAAATGTTCATCATTTAACAATTCACAACCAGTGCCGGCGCTATGGGGGGGCATTAGGGGGCAATGCCCCCCCAAATGTATTTTGTGCCCCCCCAAATTGAATTATGATATAATTTACAAAATAATATCAGTTTAATTTAATTCACATTTCAGTGAGAAATAGTACAAATATATGTCTACAAACGGCTCATTAGCTGAAAATACAATAAAGCCAACATAAAAACCAGTGTGACGCTGTGAGGAACCCCCCCTGCCGCCCCCGCCCCCCCAATCACGCACGTTAATACTTGAATGAAATGATTTTCAGTTGGCGCGACCGCGCGAACTTCCTGCATTCAAAACAAAGCAAACAGATGAAAACTCTCCAAAAATGGAAATTAGAAAATGGTTCAATACCACAGTTTCTCCTTACACATCGATTACCCCATACAGCAAGACAACGACAGCCCGGCTTTGGTATTTGGTGCTTCTACCGTGCAGTGTTGTAGTCGAGACCGAGACCAAAGACAGTCGAGTCCGAGTCGTAAGCTATTTATCTAAACTGGCATGTACTGTAATGTTCACTGTGTTGTCACGTGATGAAACTAATAGTTTAGTTGGCCTAGTTTTTGCGCTGCCCATTGCACTGCCAAATGTCACTCACTCCCGCCGTGGAGAAACAGGTGTTTAAGCCTATATTTTCTTGTAAATGGAAATTGTAGAATAATATCTGTGTATGTTGTGGGTGTTTTTTATTTGTTAAAGGTGTTAAAGGTTTTATTTGATAAAGGTAACTACATGATGCTTTTTTAAGGCTACGAATGTAAATGCTTATGTTAGAACATAGCAGAATAAAGATGAGTAACTTAGCTTTTTTTTCTCACTTCCGCCATTGAGATAGCATATAAACGGCTATTCTGTCAGTGAGAGACTGTGTACATGTTCGTTAGCTTTGCTATTATAAAGCTGTGGTCAGAGTCGGTCTTGCAATTTTTTTTTTGTATAGGCCTATTTAACCCTTGATCAAATTTCATAAGAGTCGCTCGTCTTGCAACAATGTGTAATGTTTTATGTGTTTATTGTGTGGGTTGCATTAATTCATGTTAATAGCACAGAAAAGGCAGTAGCAATAATAAATATAGGATATCTAATATCGGAAAAAAAGTCCCCATACCTACCTAGTGCCCACCCATTGAAAATAAATGCCCCCCTGCTAAAAGCGGTCTGAAGCCGGCTCTGTTCACAACACAATCACAATAAAAGTTTGGCTCAACCTAACTGCTGCAGTCCCAGAGTAAAATAAAGAAATAAAACAACCAATCACAGAACTACCATTGACATCTTGCCAGCATGCATCAGTCACAGTCTTTGTAAGCACAAACAAACAGGTTATATGAACTGACAGCCACCATTGTGGTATGAATCTCTGATTAAATGTTAGGCGGTTTGGCTGTGCTGTATGAATCTAGAGGGAGGGTCTGAGAAAGCATAAATGGATGTATTGAAAATGACATACTTTTGGGATAATCCGATCTCTGAGCTGCTTAGTGAATGAGATATGGGGACCTAGGAGCAGGGAAGTCAGGAAAAGACGAGGGGTTGGACAGATAATTGAATAATTGAAGCAGCGCTATACTGCCACACACACTTTTATCTGACTGTATACAATTAGAGGGTCTGATAAACAACTCCAAACACATTACCGGCATGTACTGAACTCAACGCTTGTTATGGAGCACATTCTCATTCATATATGTTAGCATACAACACATAAACCCCAGGGGTCATCTGTTTCCTAAAACTCCAATTTGAACTCAAACCTCTAAACATTTTCACATCTTATATTTTCGTGAAAATGCATCAGATATTCATCAAAAAAATATTATTCATGAGAAACGAAACCGCAGCAGGAGTCTATCCCTAAATGCATAAGCACGGCGCATATAGCGGAATGCATGCTGGAAAACCAACTCTATTCCTCTCAATATCTAATATTAAGGCATTATAAAAAAAAATTCAAATTAAGTTATGGAAAACACTTGCAACTAGGATTCTTCACTTTCAGATATTAGGGCCCTGGGCAAATTATTTTATTACTCAGAGTAAGAGCAACTGCATGATTGAATATTAAATGAACACAAGAAAAATCAGAAAATGTGAAGTACGGAGCCGTTCATAAAGTATAAGACGTGTTAAGCATGGTCCAATTTGTAAAAAATCAAATCTTATTTCAGATTAATCAAAGTTGTCACCCTTTTTACATGTTTGGCACCAACTTCATGAGGTATGGAAGTAGTTCCCATGTCTGGTAGGCACATTTGTTCACTCTCTAGTCCAACTCATCCTTAAAAAAACAAAACAACAACTCACCCATTCCAATAAATTACAATGTATCTTTGTAAAAAAAAAAAAAAAAGAGCATAAATAAACAACCCATTGCTTCTTACAGGGTAATGTTTTTTTTTTCCAGTAGGAGACCCCATGAAACCTGCTGTTCAGTGAGTAAGGCCACGTTTACACAAAGCCAGGTATTTAGCGAAACAAATATTTTACCTCTTCGTTTTCAAAAATAACATCGTTCACACACTCGCATAAATACGCCGTCGAGCGCCATCATAACTATGCCAAACCTATTGGCGG